GGCCCCAAATTCGCTGGTTTTGCTGGAGGTGGCGGCGGTGCGGCCCTTCTGCAGCGCTCCGGTGGGCTGGAACCGTGTTGTGCTCCCCCCTCCAGGCGTTCTAACGTGGATGCAGGAGAGATACGTAAAAAGGTTGCTTTGGGTGCACGGTAGGTATGGCTGAGACTCGGTTAGAGGCAGCCAAAACCAATGGCGAGCCACGCGCTCCTGGCAGAAAACACTTTTTATGTTTTCCGAATGCGCCCTGCAAAGTTGTCACTCCTGTAGAGGAAGGCTGTGTCCCTTTAGGCACTTTGCCGTGGTTCTGTGGAGACCGTTGGGTAAGGTCAGTGGGATGGTACCTGCAGCTGGGCACAAAAGGGACAAGTGTTCTGTCAGGATGTGAGCAAAAGGACAGGAAGATGGTGCCTGCCTGGGTAAAAGGGGTAGGGTTAAAGTAGCAGGAGTATCCTCCTCGGGTGTAGTGACAGTAAAGCTGTGGGGTTGAAAGAGGGTGATTTGGTCTGTCAGGGAGAATCTGCATGTGTTCGTCTCAGCCTGTGAAATATTCCTCAAAACTCTGCCAAAAATACAAAAAAAACCCCACCCCACCCACCTGCACAAAAATTTTCTGCTGTCTTTGTTGCAAATAGATCACTTAGTTTAAAAACAAAAATAATTTTGAAAAGTGCCAGTCTGTTTTAAGGCAGAGATTTCCTAGTAAGGATAAATTTTAAACTTAAGTTCTTGTGTAGTAACACTTAAAAGAAAAAATCCAGTGTTTCTGGCTTTGTTGTGTAACATTGAGAGTTTGCATATAAGTGAAAACAGAATAATGAACATTCAGACTGATTTCTCAAACACTTAACGCTTGTTAAGCATGTGTTTTGCTTCAGTGAAATACCTTGCGCTTAATCTACACTTGTTTATCTCTGGGGCTGAAATTTGTATTTTCACGTAGAAGTACTTCTTAGTGTGAAATGTGACAAAACTTCGAATGATGTTTACAGCATGCTCAGACCAAAGTCTCGCTGGAAGGCAAAGGCTTGCCTTTCGCAAATGACCTTGTAAAGTACCTGAAATTTAACTTTTTCTACAAACCTACAGAAAATGAAAGTAGGTCTCTCAAAATGGATGTGAATGAATCAGCTAGTTTTGTGGTTTTCTTTTTTTCTTAAAAGATCTACCACGATGCCTGGGTCTCTTCCAGTGAATGCTGAATGCTGTTGGCCCAAAGATGTGGGAATTGTTGCCCTGGAAATATATTTTCCCTCGCAGTACGTTGACCAGACGGAGCTGGAGAAGTATGATGGTGTGGATGCTGGAAAGTACACCATTGGGCTAGGCCAGTCAAAGATGGGGTTCTGCTCTGACCGGGAGGATATCAATTCTCTCTGCTTGACTGTGGTTCAGAAGCTCATGGAGAGGAACAGCCTTTCCTATGATTGCATTGGGAGATTAGAAGTTGGAACGGAGACGATAATTGATAAATCAAAATCCGTAAAGACTGTCCTGATGCAGCTTTTTGAAGAATCTGGTAATACAGATGTAGAAGGGATCGACACCACCAATGCCTGCTACGGAGGCACCGCTGCTCTTTTTAATGCTGTTAATTGGATTGAGTCCAGTTCTTGGGATGGTAAGCTCAGGGTGTTTTCTTGAAAAGTCACATCGTCCTCTGGTTTTGAGTAGTCTGCCTTATAATGACAGTGTTCACATTTAACCATGTAAAACCCAGAGGGTAAACTATTTCTCTTTAAGGAAGTATTTTTCTTAAATGGTGTGGGCGTGGAAATGAATTTGCTATGTGGGGGAAAAGTCAAGACTGGAGAGCCTCATAATCTTGGAGTCGTCTCCTCTATAACTAAAATCTAAAAATTGCTGCTGAATGTTAAAATGTGCTAGATTCTTGCCTGTTCCTGATAGTTATTTTTGTGTGTTTTTCGCAGGACGCTATGCACTGGTTGTTGCTGGAGACATAGCTGTGTATGCCACGGGAAATGCCAGGCCAACAGGTGGAGCTGGTGCTGTCGCTATGCTGGTTGGTCCAAATGCTCCGTTAATTTTTGAGAGAGGTTAGTCCTGTGAGAAAACAAATATCCTTTAGCCAGATAACCGGATCTGTCCTGAAGCCTCTCCTCTCTTTTTTTTTGTGTTGCTGGAGGGCTGGATTAACTCCCACTAATGTCAGGAATTGCATTTTGTCTCCTCTTGTTCTGGGCTAACTTGGCTACCTCCCACTACAGGAGGCAGCAAGGAACAACTAGAGATGCTCCTATCTGTTTATTTGCTTGGAGATTCTCCAGTGAAATTGATAGAGTGGACTGGAGCTGAATAACACAGCCCTCTACCTCCAAGACGAAACGATAAAAATCATTTGTTACTTGTGTTTGTCATGCTCAGTCCTGCCGTACTTGACAAGCAGCTGGGAACTGTGTGAAATGTTACCTTGAAGGGCCTGAAGTGCTATGAAAACCTGCTTGTCTGGTGCCAAATGTTTCTTGTTTTCCCCACATGGTGAAGTGATGCATTCAAATTGACTTACAGCAGCTGAATAAAGTATTTTTCAACTTTTGTCAATTTCTGTCCCTCAGGGTTGCGTGGAACCCACATGCAGCACGCGTATGACTTCTATAAACCAGATATGGTCTCTGAATATCCTGTAGTTGATGGCAAGCTGTCTATACAGTGCTACCTCAGTGCATTAGATCGCTGCTATACTGTCTATCGCAACAAAATCCACGCCCAGTGGCAAAAGGGTATGTAGCCTCACCTGGTGGTATTGCAAGATCTGGCAAATGCTGGAGTGTGTAACTAAGCAGACAACACATTTTCAAGTTTTGGCATCCAGTCTGAAGAGTGGTGTATGGGTCCCTTTCTTCATGTTTCTGTGTTCTGAGGCGATGGAAATGTTTGCTTTCGCCAGTGAGAAGCATCTTATTTCTGTGCTTGTACGGCTAAGTACCTGATTGTAAGCAGCAGTCTCTGCAGGGTTTTGTTGGTGTTACATATAGTGCCTTGCTTAAAAGCCTGTTATTTCCCCCTCCACCCAGGCTCTTAAGATACTGAGGTTAATATTTAAATGTTATGTAAGGATACTGATTTCTTCTTTTTAACCCATATGTTTAGTAACTGCTTTGCTCCTATTAAGAAGCATCGGTGCGAAGATTAGATAGTTAAATGAAGTAGATTATTTATTATGTCAAAGTGCTTGGTAGGAATACAGGGATTCTGTTAAGCTTATAGCTGATTCTTCTAGAAGAAGGGCGAACATAGTTGGTGCAAAAGATCAGTGAAAAACTAATTTTTAAATAGAAGTAGCAGCTGTGCTTCAAATGAGCTTGGCAGCAGCAGTCCTGCAGTTGTCCCTTGTATGCTGATGTGTTCTGATGATTGGTATCTTGCCACCCCTCTATTTTATGTTTGTAGTTGAAGTGAGTACTAAACGTAAGTTGTAACACAACATTTCTGCCACTTCCAGAGGGGACAGACAGACACTTCACCTTGAATGACTTTGGATTCATGATCTTTCATTCTCCCTACTGTAAACTGGTGCAGAAATCCGTGGCTAGACTCTTGCTGAATGACTTTCTCAGTGACCAGAACCCAGAAACAGCAAACAGTGTTTTCAGTGGTCTGGAAGCTTTCAGGTGAGAGTGGCTGGTGGCTTTCTTCTTCACATATTCTTAATTTACTACATAGCCAGGGTGTGTTTTTTACTTTCTGCTATTTGATTAACTGTTTCTGAACTTTTTTTTTTATAGGGATGTAAAACTTGAAGATACATATTTTGACAGAGATGTGGAAAAAGCTTTCATGAAAGCTAGTGTAGAGCTCTTCAATCAGAAAACCAAAGCTTCATTACTTGTATCCAGTCAGAATGGAAATATGTATACCCCTTCAGTCTATGGTTGCCTTGCCTCTCTTCTAGCCCAGTAAGCATAAAATTGGAAAAATAAGTCATAGTTTTTTATATGTAAGGTCATAAAAGGTTTTCGTTTCAAAAATTCTTTTGTAAAAGCACTATCCAGCAAACCTTTTCCTAGTAGATGGCGTTAAGCAGAAAGACTAAAGTTAAAAAATTATTCTGCACACACAATCAGTTCAAGTGACAAGCAGATTCAAAATTTCTTTGTCAGAAGCTGATCTGAAACAGCTGCTTACTGCCTTCCAAGGCAGGATCTTATTTGTAGTTGTGTCTCTTTGCAGCCTCAACCTTCTTTGCCATGCTCCAGACCTCTTCCCCCTCACCCCCCAAAAAAACACCCCACAACACTGCATGAAAAAGAGAACCGGAGTGCCTTCTCTGTTTCATTGTAATAAGCAAAGCCAAATTAAATTGGTATTTACTTATTTTTTTTTTTTTTGCAATGACAGACTTCTACTAGATCAGGTTAAGCTTAAAGTAAACCATTCCTCTTGGATCCTTTTTTCTTTATTATGACTTTGCCTTCCAGTATGTGGTGGTTTGTTGTAGGCTTTAGGTCACTGAAGAACAAAAACTCTCTGCCTTCTGGATAATCATATTCTGGGCACTTCTTTGCTCTGTCTGTCTTGGGCAGCTTTGGAACTTGTAACAGTAGTGTTTGAAATTGTGTTTTTAAAAGTCATCATTTATGCACATGGCATGCTAAGCGTGTGTTGTAGTCAGGATAATTTGCTGGCTACACTTTCTATTTAAAATTGGTGCCTTGGCTTCATTCTCACTTTAAACAACTGTTGCTTGGTTTCCAGGTACTCCCCAGAGCAGCTTGCAGGACAGAGAATCAGCGTGTTCTCATATGGCTCTGGTTTTGCTGCTACACTGTACTCCATCAGAGTTACACAGGATGCCACTCCTGGTGAGTGAAAGGAAGAGATGTTGACTAACTCCCTTGCCACAGCTCACCCTTAAATGCGTTGTTGCGCTACCCACCAGCATGCGGAGCAGTGCCTAATGACAGTAGTGCAAAACTGAAAATGTTCCAGCTCCGGGGAATGTTTAAATGTCTGCTTGGGCACATAAATAATATTCTTCTAACTCCATCAATGTTTTGATTGAGTAATTGGGGAATGTTTTTAATTGACTAAAAGTTTAGCCTCAGTAATGCAAAGCACTTCGAATGGGCTTGAAATGTTAGCATGTCAGTTGTCAGCACCGGTGCTACCTTACGAGATGGTGTTGTATTGTAGGTTCTGCACTGGACAAAATAACTGCCAGTCTTTCTGATCTCAAAGCAAGACTTGACTCAAGAAAATGTATTTCACCTGATGTCTTTGCTGAAAACATGAAGATTAGACAGGAAACACATCATTTGGGTAAGACCTTCATAAATACAAATCATTCGTAGTCTTACAGCAAAATGCTTGTCATGTAATTCACCTGACTCTAAATGATGAGGGTGTAGAATGAAGGAAATGTCCAACCCTTTCTGCTTCGGAATAGCTTGTGTTCACTGGCCTGATGTGGCTGAAATGAAAATGCAGACTTGTGGGGTTTTTTTATGTCTTACTAAGTCCAAACTGCACAGGCCTGTTTTGTGTAAAACTCTTACCAGGAACAACTAACGGTGCGTTTCTGGCTTTTTTACAGCCAACTATATTCCCCAGTGTTCGGTAGAAGATCTCTTTGAGGGAACGTGGTACCTTGTGCGTGTGGATGAAAAGCACAGGAGAACTTACGCGCGGCGCCCGCTCATGGGTGATGGACCTCTGGAGGCAGGAGTTGAAGTTGTCCACCCGGGCGTTGTTCATGAGGTGAACACTCAGCACACTTTTAAAGTTTGACATGAATGGTGGAGGAGTTTATATGTTTTGTCTTAGCATGTGCATGTGTGTTAAAAGAGGAAGCGGTTTAACAAGTTACATTAAATACTATGTTAACATATGTAACATACTAAAGCCAGAAGTAAAAAATTGAAGATGGGATTTTAAAAAGTACATTTCATCATAACGAGAATGCAACTGCACCAGAATGAAACAAGAACAGACTGGCTCTTTTCACATGATCAGTTTGCATGAAGCATGACCGATTTGACAGACTTAAGACCAAGCCATCCAGTGTAGCAGGGATGTTTGACAGTTGGACGAGCTGTTAAGTATAAATGTCTGAACTAGAAACCTGTATTTAATGTGTCTTTTTCCCTTCTTCTTAGCACATCCCAAGCCCTGCTAAGAAAGTGCCAAGAATCCCTGCAACAACAGACTCTGAAGGCGTTACTGTTGCCATTTCCAATGGGGAGCATTAAGATACCTCTGTGAGGTGGGAATGAAACAGGGTGTGAGGGTAGGGTGAGGAGAGAAGGGATTGCAGTAATGCTGAAGTTTCAGTGTACAATAGTACTGTGTTGGAGCATGGAAAAACTGTTCAGGCTCCTTGAAAAGATTTGTCATAATATGGTGTGCTGATATTTATAGTATTTTCAGAACACTAAAATCACAAATATACTGGAGATGGAGGGACTTGACAGGGGCTGTGTGGATTCCTTAACATGTCTGATTTTTTTTTCATTGCTGAGTAGTAGCTGTAGTCTAATTACGAAGTCTTTGTACATAGGGAGAAAAAAAAAATCTGCTTGCTCTTTCCAGTAAAAGGACTTGAAACCTATGCTGTTAACTTCTACTTTTACTCAAGTGTGTGGCAAAATAGCCCAAGCTTTTAATGTTAGGGTTTTCAGTGCCTTGACAGTAAGCAGTCAATCTTCTGAATACTGCATCACTTCTCTTTACCTTTATCGCCT